GGGGGGGACTGGGGATTTAGCTCGGTGGCACCATGCCTACCTTGTAGACGAAAGGTCCTGAGTTTGATCCCCAGTACCAAAGGAAAAAAAAAATCTTACCAGAAAGGCTAGGAATGTAACTCAGTGGTAGAGCACTTACCTAGCAAGTGTTGAGCCCCAGGGTTCAATCCCCTAGTACCGCAGAAAGAACAAACCAAAAGAAAAAAAAAAGTTCATCAGAATCTTATAGTCCCTATCTTTCCTTTTCCATATTTTCTAATCTCTTTAAGAACTCTTCATTCCAGCCGGGCATGGTGGAGCATGCCTATAATCTCAGCACTCTAGGAGGCTGAGGCAGGAGGATCACAAGTTCTAGCCCAACCTAGGCAATTTAGCAAGACCCTGCTTCACACTTTTAAAAAAGGACTGGATATGTAGCTCAGTACAAAGGCCTTGGGTTCAATCTTTAATGCTGAGGGGGAAAAATTGTCATGCCCACAAACCACAAGATTCCCAGATTTCTCTCATTTTTCTGCCAAATATTCCAGGAAAGGATATTGAAGTTCAGAATTTATTTATTTATTTGTTTGTTTGTTTCAAGTTAAGAATTTAGAAGAATTTAAGCTCTTGACTTGCTCCTGGAGTACTGTGACCATTTGTATTTCATATGTACACACTCACCATAAGGTCACCCCATTAAGCTGGAAACTGCCCCCTGTGACCTCACATATGTATTTCACCTCTGGGTGTTATACCACAGTATTTTCAGGTTCACACTGACAGTGACATTTGGGGGATGCTGTGGACAGAGGAAAGTCTCACCTATAAAGCTACTTTGCCACTTCTGTCTTAGTTGAGATTAATTTTTTTTAAAGTTAGTTGAGATTAATTTAAACAGAGTATGTGATTTTTGTGTGTGGCTAGCTGACATAATTTGGTTTTTTATCATTTTATATGTAAACCACAAAATGCCATTATTTTAAATAAAAATAATTCTCCAGAAATGTGCCATTTCCTTCACAGATTTTAAATCTTCTAACAGAAAAAGAAGTAAATATTGTTTTGCCAACGCATTCCATTGTTCCAAGAACCTTTGTGCTTAAACCAGGAATGGTTCTCTTTCTGGGTGCTATAGGCCGAATTGATTTCCTCCAGGTAAGAAACATCTGCACTATGGAAAAATGAATCAGTAGGGCAGGTGTGGAGAGGCAGGAGGATTGAGGATTCAAGGCTAGCCTGGACTGCGTAGTAAGCCTGTATGTGAAAAATGAAAAAAAAAGCATTAGAATGCACTTTCACGAAGCAGATATATAAACAGGACTGGCAGGGCCGGGGATTTAACTCAGTGGTTCCACTGCCTGCCTTGCAAGCACAAGGTCCCCAGTTCGATCCCCAGTACCAAAAAAAAAAACAACACAACCAGAGAAAAAATAAAGTGGGCTTTGTCTGGTTTGTTTGTTTGGTTTTTTTTTTTGGTACCAGGGATAGAACTCAGGACATTGTGCTTGCGAGGCAGGCGGCAAAAGTCGGCTTTGTCAAAACATAAACAGGACTGGCAAAATGTTGATATAAATAAGTCATGATTGTACATAGGATTTTTTTTTTTTAGAATAAGCTCCCCACCAAATAAAATGTCCTAGGTATTTTTTTTTTCCTATTTCCTTATGTGTTTGTTGTTTAGGTTGTTTTGTTTCATATTTTGAGACAAGATTTCAGTATGTGGCCCATGCTGTGTCACCATGCCCAATTCAGGTCTTCAAAACTATACTGCCACCAATCATGGCAGCACATGCCTGTAATCCCAGCACCATAACACCTAGTTCCAGGCTGAGGCAGGAACATCACAGCAAGTTCAAGGCCAGCCTGAACTGACTGCATAGTGAGACCCTGTCGCAAAAAAAAGCTACCATCCATGGTATTTTGAGTGCCCCTTGGAGTTTAGCAATTAAGACAAGATATGTTCCTTTCCTATTGTTTCACATAGAAATCATAAGATCAAGCCTTTACATCCAGGCTAATATACTAAATTAATTCTGTGCTTAATATCCCATGATACGTGATCCCATGATCTCTTTTGTACTTATTTTTAGGCATTAATATAATTTGATTATAGCTACTGCCATATCAGTTCTTACAAAGTTTACTTGATTTGGTTCTTTTTTTTGGTACCAGGGATTGAACTTGGGACCTTGCGCTTGCACGCAGGCGGCGGAACCACTGAGCTAAATCCCTGGCCCAGGGTGAAACCACTGAGATAAATCCCTGGCCCAAAACAGTGTTGGAAGACATTTATTACCTAATTTTTTTTTTTTTTGTACTGGGGATCGAACTTAGGACCTTGCGCTTTCGAGGCAGGCAGGGGAACCATTGAGCTTAATCCCCGGCCAAAGACTCTTATTTTCTTTTCTTGCTTTTATTTTTTTTTTGGTTCATTTTTATTGTGTCTTGTAACATGGGTTTCCAAATTTTTCATTGTGTAGAATAACTTCTTTCCTCCTTTCTTTAGGGAAATCAGTCAGCTTGGTTTACAGTTGTGGCTTCCAACTTTCTCCCAGTGCATATTACTTCCTTGGACAAGGCAGATGCTGTGTATCAGAAGCACGCAGGTCATTCATTGCTCCAGGTAAGGTGACACAACTGGATGGCTGCACAGTGGTAGTTGGTACCCCTGTGATGGTCCCATAGCCTGAGGACTCCATGTGCACAGAACTGTCTGTTACAGTGTGTCAGCTGGCTCCTCTCCCTTCAGCGTTAAGAATTCTGGCTGTAAAATAAAATGGGCTTTATATGAAAAGGAATGTTGGTTTGGTCTAATCTTAGAAAAGCTACAGCTCTGTGTGTTCTCTCTACTAAACTGTTCAGTATGGAAGCCTCTGGCCATTGCTATTAGTTAAAATTCAATAAAATTTAAAATATGGTTCCTTAGTGACACTAGGACCCTAGCCACCATTCACATCCCCAGTAGCCACATCGTGCAGCATTTTACTGAAAAGTGCTGAGCAGAGAGAGGTTACAGAATCTGTCACAGCTGAGGAACCCCATTGACATCCAGTGGCAGAGGCCACAAACATTCCACATCCTGCAGTGCACAGAGGGCCTCATCACAGAGTGATCCAGGCCCAGAGGGCAGTCGTGGAGAACCTCTGATTTGAGTAGAAAGCATTCTTTTTTTTTTTTGGTACTGGGATTGAACCCAGGGAGGACTGAGCTAAATCCCTGGCCCTTTTTCTTTTTTTTGGTACCAGGGATCAAACTCAGGACCTTGAGCTTGCCAGGCAAGTGCTGTGCCACTGAGCTACATCCCCTGCCCTTTTCAAAATTTTATTTTTAATTTTTTTTTTGTACTGGGGATTGAACTCAGGACCTTGCATTTGCCAGGCAGGTGCAGTACCACTGAGCTACATCCCCAGCCCCAGCCCTTATATTTTTAATTTGAGATGAGGTCTCTAGATTACTCAGGCTGACCTTGAGTTTATAATCCTGTGCACCACCACACCAGGCTCCTCCCAAATTCTTGGTCCCAGGCACTCATTTTACATGTTATCCCTCCTCTTGTTTACTGCTCTCCTAGCGCCTTTCTTTGGCCTATAAGTATGTTAGAGTTGTTCTCATCTGTAAATTTTAAGAAAAAATACTCCAATGACCTGCTCGTCCCTCTTTACAGTCCAGCAAAGCTGTGTACCTTTAGGCCAATTTCCTCTACCTCTCAGTGTACCTAGCTCATGAGATAGAGAAGATTAAGTGCCAGGGCAGCCTTCTAAGAGGTATCTATATACCAGTATTTGTGGTGGTAGTGATGATAATGAAATGTATCTGTTACGAAAAATACCAAGTCCATCCAGTGCAGCAGTGAATACTACTAGTGCTCACACAGCTAGGTGTGGTGGTACACACCTGTCATCTTGGCACTCTCAGGAGGGTTTCAGGTTTGATGCCGGCCTGGGCTACACAGTGAGTTCAAGGCAGACTAGGGTACTTAACAAGACCCTGTCTCATCAGATCAGAAAAGCAACAAAAGCAGGGCCAGGGATTTAGCTCAGTGGCGCTGCACCTGCCTCACAAGTGCAAGGTCCTGAGATTGATCCCTGGTACTGGAAAGAAAAAACCGAAGTATTAGTGCTCATGCAACTGAACATAATTTTTTAAAAATAGTTTTGTTGGGGCCGGGGATTTAGCTCAGTAGTTCCACTGCCTGCCTTGAAAGCCCAAAGTCCCAAGTTTGATCCCCAGTACCAAAAAAAATAGCTTTGTTATAAAGCATTTGCCTAGGATGCACAAGGCCCTGAGTTAAACCCCCTCCAAACTGCAAAAAAATGTGCATGTATGGCCCTCACTCCCTTCAAAGAAGAAAAAAACAGATGAGGGCTGGGGATTTAGCTCAGTGGTTTTGCCGCCTGCTGCGCAAGCGCAAGGACCTGAGTTTGATCCCTGGTACCAAAAAAGAAAAAGAAAAAGAAAAAAACAAATGATCCTGACTTAAGAAGTAAATACTTCTTTCTCCCTGGATTTTCTCTCTCTTTTTGGGGGGGGGGGGGTACTGGGGATCGAACTCGGGACCTTGCACTTGCGAGGCAGGTGCCGGAACCACTGAGCTAAATCCTGGCTCTCTCCCTGGATTTTCTAAGAAAACCAGACTGAAATAGAAATTACATTGATATAATTGCCATGTATTTAACATTCCAGATACTTGTAGGATTATCCAGGGAGATGAGCACCTAAAAGCAATCAGCAGTACAGGCTTTGTCAGTTTTTCTTCACTGCTGGACTTTAGTTCTCCTATTACATTTGTTCAGTTTTTAGGTAGAAAGGAGTTGGAATACAGTCTGAGACTTACGGGAAAAAACTTTTGTTTGTATAACATGGCTCACGTAAAAATAAACTCGTGTGGCTTCACGCATATGGATCTGTGTAGTTTCTCCAGTGAACACCATTGATTAAGAACTGTGCCTAACCAATTAGTGGACTAATTTAGTAATCACACACCCCTGATCTCAACATCACATTTGTGTGTATGTGGCTGAATTATATTATCAGTTTCTGTTATTTTTAATTATTTTTAAATTAAATTTTATTTTATCCCTTTCCCCCCTCAAGCCCCCTCCTCTCCCTGTGTAAAAAAACTGTTTCCTTTTTTTCCTTCTATTTTCACTTTTTTTCTTGTCCCTTCTTTTCTTCCTCCCTCCTCCCTTGTTCCCCTTCCCATTTGAACACTTTCTTCCCATTTCCCAACATCCGTTACACATTTCAGTCCTTATTTCCATTTTCGGTTTCTCACACCAGAGAATCAATGTGGTATTTAAACACGTGTGTCTGATTTATTTCCAACATCACACTTAATCCTAGCATCACACTCTAGATCCAGCCACTCCTGAAAAGCCCAATCTATGACCAAACGAGGCTTTGGGGAGACATCTAGACATAAGCCATAACAATCCCCAGCCCTTTTTAAATTTTGAGACAGGGTCTTTCTGAGTTGTCCAGGCTGGTATCAAACTTGGCCTACCTAAACCTCCCACAGAGCAGAGATTGTAGGTATCCCTCTCCATGCCCAGCTTAGTCTACTACTGTTAATCTTAGTTTCCCACAAAGTCTCATAACATGAGTAAACTATTACATAAATTTTTGCCATAGTTTAACACACAAGGCCTCTAGTCCAGTTGCCAAGGAAATCCTGGTTCCCAGCTGAAATTGAGGTTAGCCTTTACTGTCTACATTCCTATCAGCATTCTGGGTTTTTTTGTTTATTTGGTTTTTTGAGCTCTAGCCAGTCCTTTCCACCATCTTCCTGCAAACCAATTCCAAAGGCTTCCAAACTGTATCATCAGGTAGAGGCACAGCAGTAGTCCCTCTCCCAGTACCAACTTTCTGTATTAGCTTTCCCATCACTAGGATATAGTACTCATCACCCACACTTAATGAAAGAAAGGTTTGGTTTAGCTCATAGTTTCAGGAGATTCAGTCCATGGTCAGCTGACTCCAGAAGCATAAATATATGGCAGAAGGGCATTATGGAGTGGAGATACTTAGTTCATGGTGGCCAGGAGTCAATGTAGGGGAATAGTGCCAGAGAGGAAGGGGCCAGGGAAAATATATAGTACCTAAAGTTTCATATCTGGGACCTACCCATGCATACCCAGAAATGTGCTTTAATAATTCCCTCAGCAGCTCCCAGACCAATCAAGTTGACACAATTAACCTTCATCACACCATGTAAAGCCCAATAAAGGGCTATAAAATCAGTGTAAATAAAGCACAGTTCCCCTGTCTGTTCATTGCTGCCAGGTGCATGCCTGTTATGGCATATATATCTAGATGTCTCCCCAAAACCTCATGTGCTTATAGGTGGGGATTTTTCAGAAGTGGCTGGATCTAGGGTATGCAAATATGGATTAAGGGTGTGTGGTAACTAAATTAGTCAACTGATGGGTTTAGCATAGTTCTGGGTGTGGATAATGGGAAGGCCCACCCTGGGTGTGGGTGGCACCAACCAACAGGCTTATAGCCTGGATGGATTAAAAGGGAAAGGGTGGCTCGCTGCTGCTGCTGCTGCTGCTGCTGCTGCTGCTGCTGCTTGCTGCTGCTTGCTACTTGCTACTTGCTGCTTGCTGCTTGCTGTGTGCCTGCCTACCATGGACTTTCTTTGCAATGTCACCCTGCCTTAGAGCCAGCCAACTGTGGACTGAAACCTCTATAAACTGGGCTAAAAATAAACCTTTCCTCCTTTAACTTGTGGGTGTCAGGTATTTTGTCCTAACAAGGAAAAAGGCAGTGCCCAAAAATGGCCCTGTCTAGGATCTATAGTTTCTGTCTCATCACAGAGCTCTCATGCCTTTTACAGCAGTTGCATGTTCAGGATTTTATTCTTGATCCTTGTACAGAATTATCAATGATTTACATGATATTACAGTTACAGAGAACCTCACTTGCACTTTGAAACATCTTCATTTTATTTCATTGGAAGGTTCCAATGGGTGGAAAAGAACGAATGGCAGAATTTCCTCCTCTTGTTGCTGAAGATATTACATTAAAAGAAGGACTTAGGAGATCTGAAGCAGTGGCTGACATCAAGTTTTCCTCTGCAGGTAATTTTATACCCCAAGCACCTTTTCTTTTTCTTTTTGTTCTTGTTTTTTTTTTTTGAGACAGGGTCTCACTTTGTAGTTCAGGCTGGTTTCAAACTCACTCATCCAGGCTGGCATAAACTCACAGCAATCCTCCTGCCTCAGCCTCCTAAATGCAGGGATTACAGGTACGTACCACCATGCCCAGCTCAAGCACCTTTTAAAAAAGTAAATAAAGTAGCTTTACTGACTTGTATATTTTCATAGAAGGATGCCTTATTTTAAGAAATATATGTAATTTTATTCATTAAAGCCAGCCTATTCTGACAATAAGGTTGTACTTCTCACAAATGTATTGTATGCTTTTTTAAAAAACAGAGCAAAAGAAAGTACACTAACCCTCTTTGTTGCTCCATTTGGAGTTTTGGTTTTTTGTTTCATTTTGGTTTTTTTATTGTTGTTTCATTGTTTTATCGTTTTTCACTTTCTATGGTGCTCTTAATGAGGTACTTGCTAACAGCATTCTGTGTCTGTCATGTGCCTTGTAGGTTGGGTTGCAGTAACACCTCGTTTTCAGGACAGACTACATCTCCGAGGCTATGCACCTCAAGGAACAGTTCTGACCATCCGGCCTCCTCTCTTGCCCTATATTGTTAACATCAAAGGAGAACGCATCAAGAGAAGTGTGACCTATAAAACCAAAAAACCTCCTTCCTTTGTGTACAATCTGCGGAAGAAACACAGATAAATATGTGAGCTAGACCTGGTTCACATTGGATGTAAACTGTATTAGACTGTAGTAATAGACACTGAAATTATAGTATATATAGCTATAATAAAGTCCTCCCACTCTTTCTAAAGGGTTTAACATTGATTTTTTTAAGCTATTCAGAACTGTGCCTGTTGATAATGTGCAAACCCTGTTAGACGATTGAAGACATAAGAGACAGAGAATCTTTGTCAGGGGGCCAGGGGACTTCACCAGAATGGAGTGAAGCCCCAAACAGACTCAGATCCCCAGATTTACTGAGTAACAACAGAGAGTTCTGAACACAGGTGTTTGTTTTAGATAGCAAGACAGGCAAGCAAGGCATGGTAACAATTTGACTGAATAATATAATTTTTTTTTTTGAAGTTTTATGGTCAGTTTTTTAAGTTCAATGGTGAAAGTTATCAGAAGAATATTCTGAGAGTTATTTTTTCTTAGAAAAAAAAGAAAGGAAAATTAAAAGCCTCTCAGCACAGCCACAGATGCTGTGGCTGTGGAGCTCTCTGGAGATGGTGCATCAGTCCTCTGAGTCACTCCCTGGGCCAGCAGGGTTGTAGTCTGGGTCGTC